GTTAAAAACGTTCTGAAATATAGCTTGTGGTTCAATACCAATGAAAATGCCTTCAGAAAAATGTATTTGCACCTAAAAAAAAAAACCCCAAATAGGAAATGCAAGTAAAATATGGAAAAAACAAATGTGCACTTCCCAAAAAAACTAACTTAGACTAAGAAAAACCCCAACTGCTGCTTATGAAATGACCCAAACCATACAGCAGCATTAATCAATAACTTTAACAAGTTTCATAACACAGTTTTCCCCTTGATCAAATTCCCTTCTCTATTTCTTTATTCCTATATATATATTTTCTTCCTTCTTTATTTATGTATTCTTTTATTCATATATATGTTTTCTTTAATCCTAGCCTTATCATCCTCTGCATAGTCTCTCATACACACACTAGGCTTCTCTTATTCCTCACACACACAACCGAGACACAGCAGGGGCAGCTCTCCACACACACACACATACACATGGTAGCTATCCAGTCAACAAGAATGCATTCCTTCACACCGTTTATAAAGCATGCTTCCGCCGCACCTTTTTCCTTTATTATTTTCCTTCCTAAATTTGTGCTACCTCGAGTTTGCAGATATTCAATGAGAGGCCACTTCGGACATAGTTCGTCAACACATGTATCAAGAGGTAACTTACAATTAAATTTTTCTTCTACAAGCTCCCAGTTCCTTTGAACGGACCCGAAAATTCACCTAGTTCCTTTCCAGGATTTGCGGCCCACCTAAGATCGCCTTTCAAGGGCTTTTTGTCCAGATCTGCGGCGTTATATTTTCTTCCTTATCCTTATTCATTTGTATTCAAGCCGAATGACCCTGGCCAGGGTTACACTCTCTCTCTTTTTCCCTTAATCCAATTTACCTATTCCTGAAAGCCTAGTTTCACGCGACAGTAGTTTCCATTCCACATGACTTACGGTTATAAGAATCTGAGGGCCCATATTCTTAATTTTTGCAAAGTTATGAAAGCTCACTTCCCGTTACTCCTAGGCTATTCCTTTTTCTTCCTTTTATATCTATCTATCTGTCTTCATTACATTCACACACACTCGGTTTGTTTTTTTTGCGTTATCCACCACGCACACAAAATTTAGAACGGAGTCTTCTCACACATCCACCCGCAAGCATTCACACGGGATCGAACCGGTATACCCTTTAACGCACACACAGACACACGAACTGACCAGCGGCCACAGTTTATGAGAAAACTCACCATATATGCTAGCTTCTGGAGCGGGAGTCAACTCGACGGTGTCCTGTGATGGAACGATGAATTCAGGCACAACACGGTCCCTTCGTGGTCGCCAATTTCTGTGGTGTCCAAACAATAATGCTGCGATGATGTGTTGAGAAGAAATCCGCTTGACACTGTTCTTGATCATAAAAGTTTATTACATCAAGGAATTCAGCATCAATTACAAGCTCTGCAGCAGCTTGGAGAGTGACCCAGCCCGATGGCCACTCTGTCTCTGTACATCAAACACAGCTTATATAGGACATGTTTAGGTATCTGCTAAATACCATATAAGGGTCTGAGTCTGCAAACTAAGGCTCCAATCCATATAAGAGCAAAGTTCTATAGGATAAGTGTAGACATCTTGTTGGACACCAGATAAGGGTCTGAGCCTCCACATAACCACTGACTTCTGCTCTCCCCTTAAAGGTCACTAATCCTCTATCCAGCTGCTAGAGTGTTATTTTAAACTGTTATGCGTCAAATGCACATATGTTATATACCACACCACCTCACGGGAGAGACCTTGACCACCCACAGCGTAATAACTATTACTATTTAATTACACTTGTTCATATTTTACCATGTCATTCCTGTGTAATAATAGTTAATGAAGGTTTTTATCAACAATACTCAATATAGGCCCAGCCAACATTGTCAACAGTGTTGATCCCTGTCGACCGTGTTACACTTGATGGGTAACACAGTTGACAAGTAACACAGTTGACATTTCTTCCATTTTAGGACCTTGTGCTAACTGTAGACCTTGAACATTACCTTGATGAACTTGTGTTTTTATACATTTTCTCTACATTTTTGTAAATATAAAATCTAAAGTAAGTACACAAGACCATGTTGATGACATGGTTGATGAGCAATTCATCTACTCTGTGTAGACCATAATAATTAAATTAAAAAATTAAAGATTAAAAATTGAAGAGGAGGAGTAGAAACTTACCACACTGTATTTAAAATTCCCGCCACTGAAGGACGTGACATCACATGATGTTGGATATGTGACTTTGGAACCAACCATTGCTGATTTATGGGGAGTTGACAAAGATTTCTCAGACACAAAGTTAATAATTTAATAGATATAAATGAGTCAATTCGTTTTTAAAATACATTTTCCTTGTTTTAATGATTTTTAACAAATAATGATGAAAATAATATACAGAAACATGTATTTTATTGTTAATCTGAAAGGCAGAACTTGACTTTCAGCATATCGGACAGCACAAAAACAGCAATTTCCAGTACAGCATATGCATTTTCTCCAAATTAACTTATAGATCTGGTTTACTTTTCTGCATGAAATAAAGAGAAATGTGCCCAAATATAAAAGTGATCTTTGCTTGAAGTGAATAATCAGTAAAAACGATAAATACAACCCATGGACTTGAAATGTACCCCTAATTATATAATCACCCATTAGCTAACAAATATATTAATCCACATGCTAGCATTAGCTAATACACACCAGAGCTATACACCAAGGAAAATATTTTCAAACCCAGAGTGAACTCAAATTTAGTTAGCAAGACAACACAATTGTGTAAGTTAACAATAATAAACTTACCAAGAAAGACGATTGTTGCTGGCAGTCTCAGCGTCTGTCCTCTCCTGCTTGTAACTTGCCAGGCTCACTTCTTTAGCTATTTTCACATTTAACTTCTGCAGAGAGCTGACTGGATATTCTTTTCTGTGTTCTTTTCTTGTTATGTCTGTTTCCACCTTCGCCAAGTCCGAGTCGTAAAAGTAAAACAAAGGAAACAAAATTATTTCTGGCCAAAACTAGCTTCCCTCTCAACGACAGTAAACACGTTAACTTTCGTGAAGCGGACGTTCACGCTGTGTGATTGGGTTGTCGATTTGAAAACCTTGATTCTGATTGGTCAAATTGAATGCACTGTGCTAGCAGGCTGGGTGGGAGGGCACACTTTTTCCCTGTGTACACATGTTTATGTATATAAAAGTATATTTACATTATGATTTAAAGTATGCTTATTTCTATATGATGTTTGTTAATAACGTGTGCTGCTTCCTTCTAGGCCAGGTTAACCTTATGAAAGAGGTCTCTGATCTCAACTAGCTATTTACCTGCAATTAAATGACAGAAAAGAAATGGGGAAAAAAAATACTATGCTTTTGAAAAATACATTTTAATGTTAAAAAATATGTTTTAAAAATCATACTTCTAGAAATCAGGCTGAAACATGTGGCAATTATATAAATAATTAGAATATTTTGCAGTAGCCTACACAATGAAGAATGTTTGGCATAAATATATTTTTAACACACTAAAAGTGTAATTGTTTAACAATGTACTGCCACAAAGTACATCTAAATAGTATTTTTTAAGAGTTAAATATATTTTTAATAATGAGACTAAAATGTTCTAAAAAATATACTTTTATTTAAGCATATTTATTAAATTTAAGTATATATTTATTACCAATTTATTCAAAGTATACTTTTGAGAAGTATGTTAAAGCTCAGGAGAATATATCTTTAATATACTTGTAGTAAGCATGTTAGGAGTATGACTGTACTATAAGCATACTATATGAATTTCTAGTATATTTTCAGTGCCTTTAAGAGCACTTCTTTTTGACCTGGGTTCTCCCAGTTTTCTTCTGTCTGAACTCTTCAGCTTCTGCCCACGTCTCTCCGTCTCTGTCGCAGAGTGAACGGCATTTCTCTCGGTGCTCCAGTGGCGAGTCAGACTATTTTTTTGAACGATGCGCGGCGCGGGGAGGGGGGTTACACACTGCTCATAAAACATTTTTCTCATTGCAGCAGGCTTATGTGTTTTTAGAGGCAAATGCGAGAGCCCATTATGGACGGAGATAATGAGCAGACTGCAGTGCACACAGAGAAGAGATGTCACACACGCTTAGCCTACTGTTTTATTAAATCGTACACTTTTTGTGGTTATGTAATCGCACATGACGACATTGCGATTAGATTAATTGTGCAGCCCTAGACCTGGTTATGTTGAACTTGCTTGGTAGTACAGACCTCACGGTAAGAGATGGTTCTCCAGGGTTCCTTCTACAGTAGGACCTCAGATACAGCCAGCTGTATATGCTGATATACTGATTTTTTTTTTTACTGAAGTTTCTCCACCTACCTTCAGTGGAGTGCACCATGCAGGTTTTGAGATTTCTGCCTCCACCACAGCACAGTTCTTTTCCAGAAGCAGTGTTCCTAGTTCCTGAGTCATCCCCAGAACACACTGTGAACAGTTTCCACTGGAAACGCTTTTTATACATTAAATATTTCCTCTGAAAATTGTTGATACCATCAGAGGTAGTTCAGGTGACTTGACTCTTTCACACATTATTCAGACTCCATACATCATCCACTGCTAAACAAACTATATATCATTTACCGTCATGCTCTCACATGTGGAATGGGTTCCATTAGCAGATTCTGCATTATATCATATATCACTTCATCTTTGGGATCCTGCATGATGGCCTCCTTCCTCCCTCATCTCTGCTCGCACAATGTTCTCCATAACTGATTTTTGTACAAACTTGCAACTAGCATTTTAAGGCACTTTTATGAAATGCAGTTGGTTAGTAATAAAAAACACCTTCAACTGTGGTGCACGCATGTAAAACGTGTCATGGGAAATGTGAAACATGAGCAATTCCTCCCACCAGACATGATCATACATACCTTTTTTATATGTATGATCCTATCTCATCATCGTTGTCGTCTTCGTTCTCTGTGTAACTGTTCCCTTCTCCTCCCAGACATCAGCCAACAGGAAGCAGGTGGAGAACATGGCCAAGAAGAAGCTTGACAACCTGATGAAGGAGTCCAAGATCCGAGACAGAGAAGACCCAGATAGCTTTACCATCGCGGGTCTCCCTCCTGCTGGGAAGCCCACAGCCAAAGCTGGTTCTAAGGTAAACACAGACGGGGGGTCCTGACCTGAGGGCCAACATGCTGTTCTTCATTACACACTCTTCAGGTGTGTTACTTTTACACACCAAACCAACCTGGACCTCCTCCTTTTACAATTTCCGGTCTGACTTCTCACTTCCATTAAACATTTACACTCGTACCACAAGCGATTTACACAGATTTTATTTAGTTTTAGAATTTTATTAATATAGGGACATGTTTCAATTATGTTATTTGGTTTTGTGAAGTCTGAATACACTCACTCACTCACTCACTCACTCTCAGCTGTACTTGTGAGTTTGTGCACCACTGGGGGAAAAGAGTGGAGTTTGTGGTCCTAGACTTCCACTGACTCCCACTGAATGTGGCCCCTAACTTCTCTTTACATCTCTCCCACTCTTTGTGCTCAGCCTATTCTCATGGAAATACACTCACTTAAAGGATTATTAGGAACACCTGTTCAATTTCTCATTAATGCAATTATCTAATCAACCAATCACATGGCAGTTGCTTCAATGCATTTAGGGGTGTGGTCCTGGTCAAGACAATCTCCTGAACTCCAAACTGAATGTCAAAATGGGAAAGAAAGGTGATTTAAGCAATTTTGAGCGTGGCATGGTTGTTGGTGCCAGACGGGCCGGTCTGAGTATTTCACAATCTGCTCAGTTACTGGGATTTTCACGCACAACCATTTCTAGAGTTTACAAAGAATGGTGTGAAAAGGGAAAAACATCCAGTATGCGGCAGTCCTGTGGGCGAAAATGCCTTGTTGATGCTAGAGGTCAGAGGAGAATGGGCCGACTGATTCAAGCTGATAGAAGAGCAACTTTGACTGAAATAACCTCTCGTTACAACCGAGGTATGCAGCAAAGCATTTGTGAAGCCACAACACGCACAACCTTGAGGCGGATGGGCTACAACAGCAGAAGACCCCACCGGGTACCACTCATCTCCACTACAAATAGGAAAAAGAGGCTACAATTTGCAAGAGCTCACCAAAATTGGACAGTTGAAGACTGGAAATGTTGCCTGGTCTGATGAGTCTCGATTTCTATTGAGACATTCAGATGGTAGAGTCAGAATTTGGCGTAAACAGAATGAGAATATGGATCCATCATGCCTTGTTACCACTGTGCAGGCTGGTGGTGGTGGTGTAATGGTGTGGGGGATGTTTTCTTGGCACACTTTAGGCCCAATAGTGCCAATTGGGCATGGTTTAAATGCCACGGCCTACCTGAGCATTGTTTCTGACCATGTCCATCCCTTTATGGCCACCATGTACCCATCCTCTGATGGCTACTTCCAGCAGAATAACGCACCATGTCACAAAGCTCGAATCATTTCAAATTGGTTTCTTGAACATGACAATGAGTTCACTGTACTAAAATGGCCCCCACAGTCACCAGATCTCAACCCAATAGAGCATCTTTGGGATGTGGTGGAACGGGGGGGGGGGGGGGCTTCATGCCCTGGATGTGCATCCCACAAATCTCCATCAACTGCAAGATGCTATCCTATCAATATGGGCCAGCATTTCTAAAGAATGCTTTTAGCACCTTGTTGAATCAATGCCACGTGGAATTAAGGCAGTTCTGAAGGCGAAAGGGGGTCAAACACAGTATTAGTATGGTGTTCCTAATAATCCTTTTGGTGAGTGTAAGTCTTTCACATTAAAATAGAATCTATGCAGTTAGAGTCCTACAGCTTCTTTCTGCATCTTTCCACAACTTTAGGAGCCCTGCATATTTATTGTTTTTTTCTGTTATTGCCTCAGCTTATTGTCTGAAATTGTCTTTTTATTTATCTTTTATTAACGTTGAGTGGTGAAGCAAATAAACTGGAATCTTATTGGAGGTCAAAGAAAACGGCTACAGTTGTTTCTTTAAGAATAAGCAGTAAGAATTTAATTGTTTAAAGCATCCCAAACAAACCCCGAAAATAAAATAACAGTTCAGTCCAATAACTGACTGAAATGTGGCACAAATATAAGATGTCTGCGTGATTGGGTAGGTGAACATGCTAATTTTTCCCTCTGCTGTCAGGGTAAGAGTGAAGATGGGACGGACACTGCGGACGAGGCTAATCCCAGCAGCAACAAGCGAACCGGCCGCTCCTTCATGGGAAGCTTCTCTAAACGCAAGGTTGGCATTTTTATTTCTCTCTTTGCTTTGCTCTGTGTTTAAAGTCAATCTGTACATCTGACCAATCTTCCATTTTCTGTGATGAGAACAGAAAGACATAATGAGAGACCCCACCAGTATTCTTTAGTCCCTCACTTGTTAATAATTCTTTCTTCTGCAGAAAAAGACATCAAAGCTGAAGAAGACGTCGAGCCTGGAGGACACAGACACAGACCAAGAGAGTACAAGTAGTGCCTCCCGTGCCCCCTTGCACCACAACAAGTATGCTACACACACCTAACACCTCTTGTACAGTATTGTACACCGACACATCCGTTTATTGCCGCCATCTATAGACCAGATCCTAACATAGGAAAGTAAGATGTCATTAGCTTGGATATAAATTGACGTTCACAGCTACATTTCAGGATTAAAAACCAGCAAAAAACAAATTTCTGTTTAGTTGATCTGTAACATAAACTTTGGCTTAAATTCTGTCATGAAGTTGTGTGTGAATATAAAAGCACTGTCGCACTACTCTGTGTGTGCGTGTATACCATCACAGAAAGAAGAAGACCATGAAGTTATCGAGAGCTCTGTCTGATCTGGTCAAATACACGCGATCTGTGGGTCTCTATGACATCGAGGCACAAGGTGAGCAGATCTGTTCACTCTGTACAGGTGCATCTCAAAAAAACTTCGAATACAGTGGAAAAGTTCACTGTGAGCAGCAGATCCAGACTGAGATTAAAGGCTCAGGAAACCTTTGCAGCTGTTTTGAGTTAATCAGCTGATTAGAGCTCTTCTCAGGTCGACTTTTCTGTATTATAAATTATTTATTAAATTTATTCAAATTAAAATATATTGAGATACTGAAGTGTTCATTTCCATGAGCTGTATGCTGTAATCAATATTAAAACACAAAAGGCTTGAAATATTTCACTTTATGTAAAATAAATCTAGAATATAGAAAAGTTTCACATTTTGAATTAAAAAAACGGAAGAAAATTAACTTTTCCACGATATTCAAAGTTTTGACATGTGCCTGTACAATTGTTCTCTTCACTCACTCAAACAAATAGCCCTTGCTAACCTGATGCATAATAGAACTAACTGCATTAAAGAGAAAGTGTAATATCATGTATAATAAAATGGTTTGATGTTGAGGTTGGTTCTTTGATTATAAGCCCTTTAATACTGATAAAATATTATACATCAGGTTTTGAAGGTTAGCACCTTTTTTTTTTTTTTTTTTTTTTTTTTTTTTATAAAAAAACCCCTAAAAGTTTGTATTATTTATTTAAAAGGGACAATGCATATTAATGGACATCTTAGCTTTTCAGCAATGTAAATATGCCAGAGTTAGCCCAAAGGGTATTTTACATCTGTAGTCCCCCGTCAGGTCATCACAGTACAAGGTAACACAGCTAAACATTGAAATTGGATACGATACACACATTTAACACAATTTAAGAGACGCCACAATTTTCAACATCATATTATAAAAGACACCACAGTTTAGCAGACAGGGTTATGTAATTTAAGGTGCTGTTTATGCAGTAAAGTGCCATTCTATGAAATAATGTTCAATTTAATTATGTTAAAGAGCTATTTAGTGCAGGAGAGTGCTGCATCTAGTGCAGCAAACACACATACACAGTAAAGTGCTAATCTATGAAATGGAGTACATTTTAATTATGTTAAAGTGCTATTTAGTGCAGTAAAGTGCTAGATCTGGTATGGTCAACTCACACATACATAAACAATACAACAGTAAACAAACCCATACAATACAACAAAGTCCATTACTGGTCACACATTTGATGTGTCTTGAGCCATTGTTTGAGTTGGTTCTTAAAACTGGGGTAAGTCGGACATTCCCTCACGGCAGCCGGTAACTTATTCCAGATCTCTGACCCCTTAATTGACAATACAAATTGTCCAAATGTTGTACGTCTGTAAGGCACCATACAATCACCTCTCGTGGAGGCCCTGGTTACATTTCTGCCACCTCCCGTTGTTTTCAATTTAATGTACTTACTTAGTGGGGGTGGGGCAAGTCCATGAAGGATTTTTTTATATATATATAATTTTCAAAGCTCAGCAAGTTGTTTCTGCAGGATTAAGCAGTGATGAAAAGAAAATGATTTTCTATCGAAGATTTTTAAAGCTCGTTTGAAAAGTGACTCTATTGGTTTGAGTGTGGTGGCATTTATAAGTGACCAGTTTGTAAAGCCGTATTCAATATGCAAAAGGATCATGGAATGAAGAAACATTCTGGCTGCATTGCATGAGAGTGATGGTCTTATTTAACAGTTTTTGAAAGTCTTTTGATATGATTTTTAAAGGACAGTGTGGGATCCAGTAAAATGCCAAGGTATTTGAATTCGTTTTACAATCTCTAGTTCTTCTTCTTTCATGAATACATTTGAGTGTGTCCTTTTCAATCGGCCGTTTAGAAAACATCATACACACAGTTTTTTTTTTTAGGATTCAATCGACATGATTTTGTGAGCCATTCCTGTACACAGGTCAGTGCAGATGTAAGAGATTGGGAAGCTGATCAGTTTTGGCATGTGTAAAGCTTACTGCGTCGTCTGCATACATTAAAATATTGATGTTTTGGTATTATTACCTGGTGTTCGGTCAGACTCTTCGCCTTGTTTCAAATGCTGTTTCCATTTTAGCTTTGAACCGTTACTCGCTAATGGAAGTTTATAAGCCTGATCAATATAACAAAGTCGCCTTTGTGTTGTTGCTGGCAGCCAGCTGCAGCTGGCAGGTGTCGTCGCTCAGTGAGACCAAAGCCCACCAGGTGATGCAGCAGAAAGCTGCGGCCTTCATCCACTTCAACCAGCGGCAGCTGTCCCGCATCTACCCTTCCTCTTACCGCGTGGACTCCTCCAACTTCAACCCACAACCCTTCTGGAGCGCCGGCTGTCAGCTTGGTATGACCTTAACCTGTTAACTAATCCACGCTGCTGCCAATGCTTTTAGTAATTCTGCTAATTTGACAAGACGTAGGTCATTTTCTGTTGATCAGATGCAGCAGATTACTAACCCTTTTGCTCTCCCCACAGTAGCTGTTGGCACATAGAAGTAAACTCCACCCTGCTGACATTAATGAAGTGAACTGCTTTGATTTCAGTTGCATTGAACTACCAGTCAGAGGGCCGAGTCCTCCAGCTCAACAGAGCCAAATTCTACAGTAACGGCAACTGCGGCTACATCCTCAAGCCTGCCTGCATGTGTGAAGGTTAGCACATAATCACAAAATGATTAATACTCATCATTTTAGTTGGAAGTTATTAATTTTACATTTAACAAAGACCTCTGGAATATTTTCAGTTTGTAATTTCTGGCAGACATGACATCCAGTAGGTTTAGTATTCCTGTGTGAGAAAGTACAGTAGTGTGCTAATATATGGGGAGGATAACATTATCAATGTCACTGTTTTATTAATCATTATATATGTTATATTATTGATTTATTGAGCCATGTTGCCAGCAGATAGTTATCCTGTGCTTGTGATGGTTTGTCAGTTCTCAGCTGAAACATGAAACAGTGGTCAAAATGTATTTTATTGATCTTTTTTGTAAAGAGTTTATGCTGGCCTTTCTATAAATTTGACACAAACATTGGAAGGCTTGTATTATTGGTTGCCTTTCAAAAATAATTACAATATTGGCAATGGAAATTGTTATCATTCAGTTTAATTTAAAAAGTGATGGATCACAGATTAGCAGTGTACTTCCTTTCTTCTCATTGCAGGTGCCTTTAACCCCAACCTGGAGGACCCCCTGCCGGGTCAGATGAAGAAACAGCTGGTGCTGAAGATCATCAGCGGACAGCAGCTGCCTAAACCCAAAGACTCCATGCTTGGAGACAGAGGAGAGGTAGGACACACCCACATGTACAACTGCACTGTCTTTTTAAAGGGCAATTAATCAAACAATAAAATATATACAGTATGTGCAATAAATTAAATATACTTGGAGAAATATTGTAATAAATCAGGCTTTTTTAACTTGATGTTGTATAAGAAAGGAAGGAAGAAAGAAATTGTAAAGTTAAGAGGGTCCTTTATGCCCATGATTGTCTTTCGAAGTCATAGGTTCGGATCTGATCTTTGCTTTAGCTCAGACAAAGCCAATGTATTTTTAAGGAGGGTGAGGTCCTTTACTCATTCAAGAGTCTAGTCTGTCAGCCTTAGTACAGAAAGAAATGGAACAAAGCTCTCCAGGAAAATATAAATCTATTAATATTCAAGTAAGATTTCCAGGTCTTCCATTATTTTCACATTTTTCAGTGGCGTGTCTCCAGGAGTCCTATTTCTATCCATGTGTGGATTGGTGGTTATTCAGCCAGTTTCTGGTTGTTGCTTTTTTACTACTTTACCCCAGTGGGCAAGTTTCCCAAATACATAACACTAAAATTTAAGTCAAGCCCAGGGTGAATGATTAATAATCTACCAAGTAAGAAGAGATATTGGGAAATGACCAGCAGACCTCTTACCACACATTCTTCCGCATTTACCATGTTCAGGTTTTTTGCTTTGTAAAGAATCTTAAAATGTTTTTCCAAGTGAATTACTTCCACAGATCTGAGCTTGAGGTGGTACTCTGTGTCCTATGTATATCTAACCAGTCACCTTGAGTTCGTCTTATGTTCTTTTTCCTACATTAACATACTAAAAAAAGCACTTTCCATTTGTAAAAAAAAATAAATCCTGGAAATCAACATATTAGGCTTTTATGTGTCTTCAGCTAAATTGTGGTGTAAATCAGATTCTTCCACTGTTTAAAAAAACTGCCAAACCAAGAAGTAATGATTGTAATCATTGAAAGGTCGTGGAACATCAGTGTTTAGCATGAAGCAGTACCTTAATGCTGCGTAACGTCTTTGTGTCAGATCATCGATCCCTTCGTGGAGGTGGAGATCATTGGCCTGCCTGTGGACTGCTGCAAGGAGCAGACAAGAGTTGTCGATGATAACGGTGAGTTGAAGGAGAGTGAACTATTCAGGTTGTCTTCATTAACTTCATCTGCCTCTCACCATAAAAATACGCTGTATTGATTGAGAAGAGAAAATAAATCATTGGATTAATTTGTGGTGTGTATTAGATTTGTCAGATTTTACTGGCAAGTCTGCTTTAATCTAGATTTCACTGAAGCCTTGTGCGCTTGAAGGCTGCTTCCGTCACACCAGCATATTTCTGCACGACACATCTAATCCAGGTTTCTCATAAGAGTTTGATCTTGGCTGTAATCCAGTCAATGTGATTAAATTATCTTCCTAAAGTAAAGTTACAGTGGTGTGATACAGTGTTTGCCCCCTTTCTTGATTTCTTAGTTTTTTTCATTTTTGTCACACTGAAATGTTTCAGATCATCAAACAAATTTAAATATTGGACAAAGTTAACACAAGTAAATTTAACACGTGCAGTTTTTAAATTAAGGTTTTTATTATTAAGGGGGGGGAAAAAATCAAACCTACATGGCCCTGTGAAAAAGTGATTTCCTGCCCCTGTTAAAACATAAATCAACTGTGGTTTATCACATCTTTGGAAAGCTGAGTTCAATTTCTCTAGCCACACCCAGGCCTGATTACTGCCACACCTGTTCTCAATCAAGAAATCACTTAAATAGGACCTGCCTGACAAAGTGAAATAGACCAAAAGATCCTAAAAGGCTAGACATCATGAAATTCAGGAACAAATAAGAAATGGAGTAATTTAAATTTATCAGTCTGGAAAAGTTTATAAAGCCATTTCTAAAGCTTTGGGACTCCAGCAAACCACGGTGAGAGCCATTATCCACAAATGACATGGAATAGTGGTGAACCTTCCCAGGAGTGGCTGGCCTTCCAAAAGTACCCCAAGAGAAAAACTCATCCAAGAGGTCACATAAAACCATGGTTCCACCATTAGAAAGAGACTGGGCCAAAATGGCCTGCATGGCAGAGTTCCAAGACGAAAAACCACTGCTGAGGAAAAAGCACATAAAGGCTCTTCTCAGTTTTGCCCGAAAACAGCTTGATGATACCCCTAGACTTTTGGGAAAATACTCTGTGGTGGTGTGTCCCTGGTCAAAGTCCTGACCTGAATCCTATCGAGATGTTGTGGCATGACCTTAAAAAAGTTTGACTTTTTCACACAGGGCCATGTAGGTTTGGATTTTTCCCCCCTTAATAATAAAAACCTTAATCTAAAAACTGCATTTTGTGTTTACTTGTGTGACAAACATGCAAAAAAAATAAATCAGGAAGGGGGCAATCACTTTTTCGCACCACTGTATTTATGGACCTGGACTATTTTCAAGTGGCTAAAATGAATTTGACTGAGGCCAGAGGTTAAAATGTGTCCAGCTGTGCTGACTGTGACTGACAACAGCAGGTGTTCCAGTAAAGAGAGGGGGATTTAAAGGGATATAAACCAGTCTGTTTCTCTTAGACTCCGATCAGCAGCTGTTACCATAAGCTGCCCTCCTCTTGCTTGTAGTCATATATGTATATACTGTACATACCCTCGTATAGATCCTTGCCAAATGAAAAGAGAAACATTGCTTTTCAGCCTGTTGTATTTTCAGAGCCTTATCAATTTACTTCAGTGAAATCACAGCGAGCAATGGACTACTCTACTGCTGGTGGTGGTTAATATATAACAAACTGTCTCAACAGAGCTAACCTTTGAGGTAACAAGGCCAGGGAAGCAGCCAGAAATAGCTTTGTTGCATCATCCACTCTTGTATGACCTTGCTCTGCTCAACAGAAGAGGCTTAGTTTGCAGTCAGTTATGAGACAGTAGTCGACTGAAAGTTATCAAGCCAGCTAGCGAAGAGCTGCTGTGTTCCCGGCTGGCTAGCATATTAGCAGTGAGCTACAGTAGTTTGTGAGCTAGCCCTGCAAGTAGTTCCTGCATCAACAAGAAGGTGCTGTTTTGCAAGGACACACGGATGGATTTCAACGAGCCACTCTCTGCTGTGACTGGGCTTCAACCACCAGTTTGCTGTGGATAATCGCTGTCCCTGACCACAGACTGCTCCTCAGGGCTTTCTGTGAACTGAGCCACACATGACGTCCCGGTGTTTGCATGAGAAGAACTGTGGTTTTTTGTGGTTTGTCTTTGATATGTGATTAATATGTGCTGATGTGTGTGTTTGAGTAGTCTGTATGAGTCCTGATCTATAACTGATGAGGTCAGCATGAAGAGATGTGCACAGGCAGCACCTCTCAGTCTTCAAACACACACACCCCCCTGAATAATTGATGAGTGCTGAGCTCGCTCTCTGACTCTCTCTTGGTCATCCAATCTATCCTCCGTCTCAATCACTCTCTCTCTTCTCTATCTGCCTAACTTCTCTTCTCATTGTCACACTCTTTCCGCCCTTTCTCTTAATTAATTTTTTTTTTTTACCGTCTTCCTCTGTCCTCCCTCGCCTCCCTCACCTCCTCCACCCCTGCCTGTGACCTCTCTCGGGACGGTCCTTTAGGGTTCAACCCAATGTGGGAGGAGACTCTGGTGTTCACAGTCCACATGCCGGAGCTGGCCCTGGTGCGTTTCCTCGTGTGGGATCATGACCCCATCGGCCAGGACTTCATCGGCCAGCGCACCATCGCCTTCAACAGCATGATGCCAGGTAAGCCATGGTGAAGCACCTGCTTTTAGATGGAGCTGCCCCCCCTCCACCTCACCCGTGTCTTCCCCAGATCGTGTTTCTATGGCGACCTCTAAAAGCCTTATTTTTGGATTTTGTTTCTCATGTTCCGGTGATATCGTTTCCATAGATAATATAAATAAGAGGGAAAGATGAAGGTTTGTTAGCCTTTCTTTATGATGCAGCTTGATCCAAATGTTTTTTTGAAATGTGATCAGCGCTGCAGCTTGTTGAAAAGCAGAAACTCTTCTGGAATGATTCTGAGACCAGTACTGTTTGGTGCACCATGGTATGATTAATGATGTAAAGCTGTGTGAGTGTGGGACTTTTACATAGAAATGAATGTTCGTTACATTCAAGCCCTCGCCAAACGAGTTCATACAGTGTGATTAAACCTCTCACCACCAGGTAAATCTCTCTATATTTGCAGTTTACCAGAGTTTTTAAATCTGGTGTCTGTGGCGACGTTCCCGCGTTTGTTTGCCAAAACTAAAGGGTAGAGCGATCGTAGCAACGGCAGCAGCTCGGAATGGCAGAACCAATACGTAATAATCACGTGTTGTGTAATTTCTCTGTCAGAAGGGGGAGACAAAAGCTCCACTGCAGGTTTAAGCAGAGTTTTAAATGGAATAGTACAAGGTTTTGGAAAATATGCTCATGTGCATTCTTTCAGAGAGAAGATGGCGTTACAAGTACAGAGGTGGAGTAAGGATGTGCTTAGCCTAGCTTAGCATATAAACTGGGAACAGGCGAAAACAACTAGCTTAGCTCTGTTAAAAGTTCAGAAATACACCTACATCTGAAGCTCATTAACATGCTGTATCTTGATTGACAACACACTATAGATGTTCTGAGCCAATTCTAAGGATCACCGGACAGGTTATGTTCAATTAAACCAGACCTGTTATCTCGTGACCCGTGGCCTGTACTACGAAGCGGGGTAACTGGCTTATCCGGGTAAATTCGTGACGTCGGATGTAACTTCCCGGTTAACCCATACTACGAAAGGTGGATAGGTGTTGTCCAGGGTCTGTTGCCATGGCAATTTACGCTGCATCTCTAAACTGCTCCGAGCAGGTTCTGTTCATGGTTAACTCAAGGTTACCCTGCACGGGGACTACACTCCACATCTGTACTTAGTGTTAATGATGAGAAGTAGGATATTAATACACACAAAAATGTTTAGATTTCATCCTGATTTGTTCCACTGCGATTGCAATGAAGTTCTGCAAAAAAATGAACGCAACAGTTGAAATTATATTGAACAAACTACAGTATAATGAGTTAAGGGAATTAGCTTTTCCTCTACAATCAAAGACAATTTCTTACTTAATTGTTGATAGCTTAAAGACAAATATTTAAGTTGAATACTCAAACAATTTAGTTGCTCCAACTAGATTTTCTTATTAAAGTAATTTTTATGTAATATTTACTTAATTACCATAATCATGAACGCAGGATTTAAGCTTTTTTTTTTTTATAAAAAATCAGTAAAATATTAACTCCACTCATTAAATATTTTGTAAAACCTTTACATTTAAAAAAAACAACAAAAAAACAAATACAGTAACAAACTGGCTGGCCTCAAACTCCTTGTTCTTGTAAAGCAAATGTATGTTTACATAGGTTACTGTGTTAGTGATGATGAATTGGAACATTGCTTCTGAGAATGATACAGAATGATAGCAATGCTAAGATCTTCTCCAGACAACAACTCTTTTGTTTTGTAATAAATGCCATCAGAAAATGCCCTGTACTGACCAAGACAAGGCAAAAAAGAAGCACTCTGCCACTACTACTTTTATCTCTCTCGCAGAACTATCCACAGTTTTGGAAAGTGGTTAAATAAAAATTGAAAAAATGTTACTTACCATAAAATGTCCTTTATATCAAGCTTCTTCAGTCTACAAGTCCACAAACATACAGTCTTACTGTCTGAATTTGTCTAAGCAGGTGTAGATGTGGGTAAGTGAGGGAACTTGAAATCCTGAAGTCGAGGTGGAGAAAAATGAAGTTATCAAGCCAATTTTATTAAGTTACTGGAACTTGAATTTGGTGTAAACCCATCAACAATGAAATGTGAGTTAACATTACCAGCAAAATTAAGTTGATGTAATTACCAACATTATTATTTAAACACAACTCATAAAAATAAAGTTTGCAACTTAGAAGGTTTATCTAAATCAATAAATCTGAATTTTTATCTTGCAGCCATGCAATTAATCAAGTGGTGGTGACTGGTCCCCTGAATTAGTTTTTAGTGTGAACACAACAACATTACGTTCAGACCGGGAGTCCTGCAGCCTCAGTGATTTTAGAGAGGAATCTTAATTAATTAATGGGATAGTTTCTTAGATGTAGCCCGTCTGTAGTCTATAATTGAATTCTCCTAAGTGTTTTCACGTATTTAGATAAACTATTTTACGTGTCCAAAAATAGGGAGCCAGGGTCGGGGTTAATAACCAAGAAAAAAAAAAATCCTATGAAAGTGTGAAATTTAGCCCACAAGAAGAAAAATCAGAAATTCCCCGAAATTAATGTCATAAAAAATCAAAAATCACTCTGTTTTCTTCTGAATGCGCCCAATCCAAGGCAAAGTCTCTAAGGTGCATGGTAGTGACTGTGGGCTAAACTCAGGAGTATTTCTCTCATAAATGTGTGACTAATGTCAGAGAATATTCAAGTTTTTTACTTGTAGATTAATCTTGGAAATTAAATTTTCTCTCAGATAATTAGGACTACACCTCTCCGCTGGCTCCTTTTTTTTTTTTTTTTTCTATTACAATGGACCTTCTGTGCAGTTGTACCTTTACATCTTAATCATATTACACATAAAAGAAGAGCCCATAAAATAGCTAATAGAGATTTGAACTACAATAAGAACACTGTGAAGATAATTAGGCTACAAATTTACCAACAAGCCTCCCTGGCTTTGTCACCCTCCATGATATTAGATTAGGCCGTTAACTTGTCTTTACATTCATAATTTCCTGACAGTACCAATGTGCATTCCTCTGGAGAAATACGAAGCATGCGCCATTGCGAAAAAACTCTGTCTACACGGCCGAACAACTCAACTTACCAATATCTTATCCACCGTCATAGTACCGTTTAACTCCAGTTTAGGCGGTCAGAGTTTGTCAACCCTGAGTTTGCCTGAAAACCCAGAGTTAACTCTGAGTAGGTTGAACTCCCTTCGTAGTACAGGCCACTGTTTCGTAACGGGGGGGTGTTTACCACGAGTGCTACGTTATGGACACCCTAAATAGTTTGGATTTTTAAATGATCTGGTAAAATGATCTGATTGATGGTACTGATTAGTTTGAGTAAGAGTCAGTGGCAAGAAAAAGTTTTTTACTGCTGATTGATAGGATAGGTATTTATTTATAGCCATTTCTATCTGCCCTGTTGTGTGTAACTTGCTGATATTGCAGCTGTCTCTGTGATGTGTGCAGGTTATCGCCATGTTTACTTGGAAGGTATGGAGGAGGCTTCCATCTTTGTTCATGTGGCTGTGAATGACATCACTGGTAAGGTAGGTACTACTGAGGAGGCCAGCTGAAAATTATTGGAAAAACTCTTTACTTTTGCTCTACAACTGAAAAAAGATCTAATTATATATTGGCTGATAAATGTTTGTTTTTAAATATAAACACACAACATAAGCATTTTTGATGAATGGGACATTTTGCAGTGTAAAAACGGAATCGCAGGAGGAATGTCCAAAGACAAGTTTTTTCAGCAACTTTAAAAAGTAGCTTACTACGGATGGAGAAAGTTACCAGTGAAAGACCAAAAGAAGCGGGCCACACTGACGTGTTTGCAGCAGAGGTACGTTAGGTCTGTGAGTGTGAAGAGAACTGAAGAAGGCAGATTCAATGAATGACACTTAAATAAGTTCCTACAAATGGTAAAAATGCCCCTAAAACCGACCTTTCCCCCACAGCCAATTTAGCAGAAAATACAATATATATTTTTCCCGGAGTTCTGCCTAACAGTACCAGGATATGACTTTTTGGTCCATATCGACTAGCCCTACTCTGCAGGACAAACTGTAATGGAAACACTGTTTCTAAATGACCTCAAACATGCTGTGCTGCAGTAATCTAAAATCGGCTGAGCTATCAGCCAGGCCAATTTATCAATTGGGCTCCAGTATCAGTAAATGCTGAAGCAGAATGGAGGTACAGTCTAAAATTGGCAAAGTTCCAATACCAGTGACGGTGTCTGTGGTGTAATAGAGTGAAAATAGAGGTACCTCTGTGTTTCATGTAGGGGCGAAATGTATGTGGACACCTTTGTTCACTTTGTTGTTCACCTGTTTTAACATGACAAAGCAGTACCATAAAGAGATGGCCAGCTCAGAGCCCCGACCTCTGCCCCATCCAACACCTTTGGGAGCAACTCAGGGGCGTAGGAGTGACTTTGAACCTGGGGGGGACGCTGAAATGCTAGGGGGGTCCCCCCCCCCCCCCCCCCGATTTTTATTTTAAATAAAGCACTTAAGTGCTCATTTCTAATGACTTTTGAAATTGTACTTATTAGTGTGGCTAAAAGAGGGTCTTTGTAGTGACAGAAGATGGAGAATAGACTGGAGAGGGGATATTATGAAAACTCGAAGAGGAAGAGGGTCAGAGAGAGGGAGTATAATATAACAAGAACAAAACTGGCTACCATTAAAACCATGGAACAGCAGCTAGTTACAGTAGCTAGCCACAGTACAAATGTATTTAGTTATCCTGATGTTACACTTGTGAGCTGTCTGTGATATTTCCTGTGTCTCACTTGGCCCTGACTCCCCCTGCAACAAATGTTTGTGAACACAGAACTGGCCTAACAAAGTCTTTTTACCATGTGAGTTTTAGAATATATTATGTCTACTAGCTATCCATTCAGCTTACAAGCTCGTCCTCCTCAGTTTTTTCTACTCCTGCTCCTGTGACCTCTGTCCTCTTCCTCTTAAAATACTACAGGATGCTCATCTCTGTGTGAACATTTTAACTACTTTTCAATTGTTTATGGACACATAGCAGAGACACATACACACCTCCTGACACATGTTTTTAAGGTACGAGGATGGTCACAGACGGAGGCAAAAAAGTGGCCCAGGAGTTTGTCCCTGGTCAGCCCACTCTCCAGACAAAGCATCTGTCGGGGGCTCTGGGTCTTTAGAGACCTTTATTCCTGCATTCTTGAAAATTTTATGCAAGTTGAGTACATAACTAAATTAACCTTTAAAATAGATTTTCAAAACTAGAAACATCCCTCTAACACCCCTAAAGCAAAGTAATCACTTCAGCTGAGCCCTTGAGTAGATAACTAAATAAGCCATATCATCATCAATCTTACCATAAACTGCTGCTTTGGACTCGCATTGACTCTGTTCTGCTCTTGCCCTCATCTCTGCTGTCTGTCTCATGTTCACCCTGTCAGCGCTAGTACTGGTGCTGCTGGCCAGTGGCAGGTAGAGTACTCAAAATCTTTACTCAAGAAAAAGTACAATTACTCCCATAAAAAGGAAAAGAAGTAAAATGACAAACCTACTCATGTATAAATATAATTTTATCTGCTGTTCATCAGGTTTGAAACAGCTGCAACATGGTTATTTCTAGGGAATGCAGTTTGCTTTGCTGGTTGATTAGCTATTTGTGTTTAATAATTATTTTCCTTTTTTAATCTCCATGAATGTGTTTATAAGATCACTTTAAAATATCAGCTTGCTGCCCAGCTGACTATTGTTGCCTGTAAATTTTATTATGGACATGTAGCCAACGAAAACCACTTGCTTTGCAGCAGCACAGGCAGCCAAAACAATCTGATTATTCCTAAAGTATCTAAATAATCTTTACAACGCAAAGAATTATTGTGGCAGTAACACAGAGCAGCTCGTTGTTGAAGCAGGTAAACCTACATACAGAGGAAGCTGTATGTCATGCGTAAAGCCCAACAGGACTGTTTTATCCACCATATTTTCTCTCTCTGTGCATCTCCAATATGATTGTTTCCTGAATAAATAACAGCTGGTAGCTGCTGAGTGAAGCAAAGATTCGTTTCACCGGCGACATTCTGTTTATGGACACACATCGCTATTAAACAGTAGGCTATGAAAAAAAAAACAGGCGAATATTCATCAAAAGAAAGCGATGCTCTTTTCAACAACAGGATACTGTTAATTTATCAGAATCATTCTAGTGATCATCAGACTTGGATGTTACAGTGTAAAGTTTACGTTTTCTCTGCAGAGACTAAATACACTTTTAATGTGCCGTTAATGGAAAGTGAAAGTAGGTGCCGGCCGGCCACCCGTCCCATGGTGAGCGCTCACTGGATTTCAGTTGTTTCAGTAGAACAATAAAGCCTTTAACTGAAAAGGTATTTGCCTGATTTTCTACATGTTTATATCTGCCCAGCTCATTGATATCTGTGATAAGCACCCGTCTCTGTACCACAGAGGAGACCTGGCACTCTTCTGCGTAACTGCGCGCACACAGCCTGGCTGACAGCTCATTCGGTTAACGAAGTCTATTGCAGATTACAAACTGGTGAAGGTATGAAAGGAAAATGTAGCGAAATTAAAAGTAAATTACTGGCCCACAGAAAATACGGGAGTAAAGAGTAAAAGTAGGCTACAGTTTTAAAAAAGGAACGTTAAAAGGTGCCAATTACTCACTACCCACCCTGCAGCAGGCATCCCCACTGCTGTCTTCAGGTACAAAAAGAACAGCACAAAATAAACACAATATTGAGGCACTTTGCCGCACCTGCCTCAAGCGAATTTATGTTGTTGTTTTTTTTTTCTTTTCAGCACTGCATTTGCGTTGTGTCGCATGTTTTCTATAGGCTACATGATTTTTGTCCATGTTTCAACCGTTTAATCATGTCTGATGCGGAGTCTTTGATTGATTAGTCACTCAAACCGCCTGGCTATGAGCCAACTCCAAAATCGCCAAAAAAAAGTGAGGGGGACAAAACACAGATTTTGAAATGTGGGGGGGACATGCCCCCCTCATGTATAATGGCTCCTACGCGTATGGAGCAACTGAAACACCGACTGTGAGCCAGAGCTTACGGCCCAACGTAAGCTGGGTGTCCTCATATTAATGGCCATGCAGTCTACACTATATTCATGCAGCCCAAAGCTTTACGAGAAAATATGATAATTTTTGAGCTTGATTTTATTTCCCTTCAGTTTGGATGCCCTCAGCTGTCTCCAGCCATGTTGTAAATGACCGCTCTGTTGTTTACATTGTCCTTACTTTGAACTTCCTCTTTCTCAGCATTTGATGTGGGCTTCTGGTGGGATTTCTCTCTAACCCCCCACCCCACCCATTGTTTCTCTTTCATCCTCCACCTCTCTGATTTTTGCTCTCTTCCTGTGTCTGTTTGTGATTTCAGTGGACCCCTCTTTTTCCAAACGCTCCATTTAGAGCCAGGAAATTTTTAGGAGCCCTGAAGCTGCCACTCAAAACTCAGGTGTAGTGAGACCCAGTCGGCATCTTGCATGAGCCCCACGCTCCACCCTCTTTGCCACATAAGGAATCCCCCCTTTGCACACCCCCTTCTTGTCAGCAAACTCTAAGCATTTAAGACATGAAAAAGGCCAACTCATGCCTCACATGAGTTATGAAGGCTTGACCTGCCTGCTTCCTCATTGACCCCCCAAGTAGATCCAAAGTCATCAACCTGCACAGTTAAAGAGCTGGATGGAGAATAAAGAGATGTGAGTCAGGAAAGCTGCCAGGCTGCAGTGCCTTCTCTTTGCTGAGAGCATTTTTTTCCTCTGAACTCAGGAGTTTTTTCAGCATACTGCACTGCAGGGGGATTCAGTTCCAGTGTCTTTTGAGGACATTAGTTTTCTCTTTTCATCTCTTTTTTTAATCATTTTGCTGCTGTTTCTTTTCTTCCCTGGGAAAAACACTGCAGAGACATTCTTTGACAGTTGTTAATTGTCAGGTGACTGACTGACTTTTTAAATGTCTCTCCTATTCTACATCCTACATCAGTCTCGTGAGGGTTAAAGGGATCAGTCTGACATTTTGGAAAGTATCCATTTGCTGTGTCACCCACACTGCAGAATCTGGGCCAGAGCCGGGCATTAAGACCAATTTATACGTCTGCGACAAATCTACCGCCTAGCCTGATACACAACTCCCCAAAAATGTAACCACACGACACTGACACAGACTGCAAGAACTGTGTTTGGTCGGCTTGGTAGCATTGCATTTCCTCCTACACATTTGAAGACGGCACGTAGCCTACTCTGTCAGCTACAGCGTAGACTCAACGCAGAAGTATAAACTGGCCTTTAGTCAAAGACATTCATTTGTGCCGTTGGAACACCCTGCTTCCAGTTTTGACCTAAGATAGGCGAAACATGCCTGCACTTATCTCAGTGCTAGATGAGCAGGGCTATAACAGTAACATTGAGCTTCTCGTCTGCCTCTGGGTAAGACAAGTACTTTTCCCATAATGTTGGACTGTTATAAATATGAAAGGTTTTGCAGGCCAAAAGCACCTCAGGCAGCAAAACACATAGATTGACCCTCATCTCCTGGCAGCTTAATATTACTATTTTCAGTTCAGACTACATTTCCCTTTTTTTCACAACCAAAGACTTTTTTCTTTATCATCTTGTCTTTTTGTCTGTGCTGTTGCTTTCCTGTTGTGATAGATGTTCTGTAAGTAATTCACCACAGCGGTCAGCAGTCAGACCATTTGGATCTACTTATTTCACATTGTTTGAAACTTTTATAACAAGTAAGGCTTTTAGGTAATGTGTTGTCTTGTCCCACTAAAGCTCCATTTGGTCTGGTATTTCTGTGGAGTGGTCCAGTACCCTTTACCAGAGTGTGAAACTAATTTGGACATACAGTCATCCATGTCATTGTCTGAATGTCTTCATCATTGTCAACATTTTTGCCCCAGTCTGTGTGACTTGTGACCATTACCATGCAGCGCCTAAAGGTAGAGGAAACGCTCAAACAGTGCTACATTTTTGTGTAATCTGAATATTAATCAAGTGAAATGAGTAGGTGAACAGTTCTCAAGGCCATCCTTACTGCTGATCATTTTCCAGTGGCTTCTTTACATCGATTATGCACTAATTGTTCTTAGCGATATTCATCTTAAGCCTCTAATGCTAGCCTTTTGTATAAAGAATGATAAGCCAACATAGGCAAACATTGGTATAGTATTTATTTTATTTTTAGCCCATCACTGCAGCGTTCTAGTTGTACCACAGTGTACAACTAGAACACTCTAAGGAGCACCAAATTGGAAATATTCAATTCCTACACACAGTAGTAATTGTAGTTACTGTATTTAGTTGTAGAGGCAGAGTCTGCGGTGCTCTTTGTGTTTAACTTGATAGGTAACATTTAGCATGTGTTTGCTTAACTAATAATTAACCAGTGAGACTACAGCTTCTGTATACATGTTCAAAACATCTAACAGGCTCTGAATCCAAGTGGAATTCAAAGCAACTAGCATGGATTACAGCTGAATGATCACGTTAAAAACTGAGGGATCATTCACACATGTTACTACGGAAATCTCTCCATAAATGTGGAAATTGATAGAATTAGATTTTTAAGCATGCACGCTGTACAAAAACTGCCCATGTGTTATTGCAATAATGCAGTGTGGACTGGTACCACCTGCATTATTGCAAACAGTGTTCTTGTATGGCCTCCCTGTCACTTCTTTGGTTGTGTGTTTGACAATGATCTTTTGTTGTGTTTTGTCAGGCCCGGGCAGCCAGCGGCATAAAAGGGCTGTTTCACAGAAACCCAAAGCAGTCTTCCCTGGACAGCCATGCTGCTGTACAGCACAGCCGTAAGCACCCGTTTGGTGCCCACCTCCTGCGCCGCACTGCCAGCGCACCCACCAAAGGCCAGCCCAAAATCAAGAAGGGCTTCCCAGAGATCGCCATCGACACCAAAGACTACAGCTCAGAGGGCGCTAGTGAGGAGCGAGAGTCTGAGGATAGGGACAAGGCCTCTGCTGCCGCCTCTCACCAGTCCACTACACCGCAACACCGCAACGGGGACTCACTGGAATCCCACCAAGCCAAGGGTCCCTGGGACCGTCCTGACACCAATGGGGCTTTTCACCCTGAGGAGGGTAAAGGTAAGAGCTCTCTTTTTGCTCAGCGACGACCCATGAGTGAGCCTCTGAAACGGGCCAGTCGGCTCCGCTTTCATGACCCGCTGGACGCAAAGCCAGGGGTTTTTGCCCGTGTCGCACTTAACAGCTCGGGCAGGATGGGGATATCTTCCAACTGCATCACATGCGTGATTAGCTCCAAGGAGAGTCCAGAGGCTGAACGGAAGGATCAGGTTAAGGAAAGACAGGAATGTAGGTCCAAAATCACAGATGGGGAGAGACAGGAGAGAAGTAACCGCACCTCCTCAACCAAGAGACAAGTTCAGCCAGAGCCCCTAGCCAAGCCCCAGCCCCTCGCTGCCCAGACAGAGTCACAGCAGTCTCCCCTTGTCCCCAAGTCATGTGTGGAGGCCCAGTTTCAGTACTCGCCCCAGGCTGTCCTCCGACCTGTCCCCTTGTCCAGATCCAAAGCCAGGCAAACACTGGGTGCCCAGTACATCCGACCTCAGCCTGACTCATCACAGAGGAACAGCCGTTCCAGCAGCGTTCCCCGAAGATGCTCCCCCAACGCTGTAACTCCAGCACCAAGCCTCACGTCAGACTGCAGGACCAACCTCCGTTGGCAGCAGGCCACTCCCCCCAACTATGGCGCAGTTTGCGGCTCAATGCCCGCTCCATTCACAAACAGTTCTGCAAAGGAAGGTCTCTCGCTCAGTGACAGTAGCAGCTGTGAAAGCTTTGGCAGTCTGAGCAGCTTGGAGTCGCCTCCTATGCTGCCTCCACGTTCTGTCCTCGACAGCCGCAAGAGGGCTGTGGGCACCCTGCAGCGCGAGATGAACGCCCTGTTTGTCCAGAAAATGGAAGAGTTGCGCCATAAATCCCCCATGTTCCTCGCTGGTAAGATGTATCTGAGGCAGCATTAGCAATACCTTGGTAGCTCCTGTGTAGTGGCTGTAGTGGGCCTTTTATGTCCTGTGCACTTCCAGTTAGACTCCACAAAGACCATGAATGTCTGTAACATAATGTTTTCCTATCCTCCCTCTGCTGTGCACCTGTACATAAGACACACCTCGTCATCCCATGTGTCTGTGATCTAAAACTCCTCACATTTCTTTCCATTGTTACCAATTAGTTTAGTTCTAGCTTTGTAGCTTTTATCTATTCTAATATTATAATTTTTTCCTATTTTGCCTCTCTATGCTAAAAAAACCCTGTACCTGATACGACAGATGAAAGAAGTGGTAAGTTTTAACCTACTTGAATAAAAGTAGTTTGAACTTAACCTAGTTATTTTGATGCATCTGTAAAGCAACATAAATACAGAAAACCCAAAGCACCCCCTTATATAATATGTCCATCCTCTGTACTAGGGGTCCAACAGTATTCCAAACTATTTGGGACAGGCTGTTTAATTCAGCACAACCTGTGGACCAAATAATGACAAATTAACAAAGTCTAGTCCTTGGCTTGTGTGTGTTTATGTTAGTTTTTTATGTTAGCTTAGTTATGCTAGTCATGCTAGTTATCAGTGTTCTCAAAATAAAATTATGTATTATTGGGCTGCATTGTACTGATTTTTTTTAGTATTCTGGTAGAGTAGTGATGCTAAGTGTAGAAGTTTACAATGCCGTTTAGAAACATGCAGTATTTCGAGTACATGACCTACACCAACTGGCTGAAAACTGGAGGTCTCACTGCCCTGACGTCTGTGCTGCGCCCTCTTCTCCCTTCACCTGACATGTTTCAGGGGAGTCTACATCCTGCTGTTCTACCCCTTCAGCCTTCCTCAGTTCAACATGAGATGGCATCAGTATTTTTACTATCAAAACAAATCTTGTGGGGAAAACAAAGTATGTTTAGGGAGTTGAATTTAAAAATTGTCTGGCCTCGTTACAACAGCTGATATGTGGGGATATCTGTTGAGTCATATGATGCTGGCAGACGCTCTGCCTGTTAGTTGGTCATATGATAAACCTATATCTTTGCTCTCTTTATAGCTTGTTTTTCTTTTCACTTTAAAACAAAAGCTGTGATGTTTACGTCGATTTACGATCACTTCTTGTTATGATGCTTTTTCTGTCCTGTAGTCTCCTTCCTTGTCTCCACTGTCCCTCTTCTTTCCAGTTATGCTAAACTAAACTCCTTCTTCCTCTCTATCCCTTTTGCACGCCTTCTCTGTTCCTAGTGCAGAATTGAGGGGATGAGGAGAGACAGGTAAACCACTGAATGCATGCACCCTACCTTCACTTCACCCATCAGTCTCTGTCTCGCCTGCTATATATTCTTGAAACTGCATTAACTCAAAATGACACCATTGGAAAGAATGAGAGCACCATGACAAAGTTGTTGGTTCACACCATTGTATAGCGGGTCCAGACAGGGACACTCACTGTGGGCAAGTGCAAAACATAATTCATGAGTTGGTTTGTCACTTTTCACTGTGTCACGACCTGTAGCCCACAATGTTTTGACTCTTAAAAGTTAATTCATAGTTTCAACCATAATTCCATTCAATGATAATAATGTTGTGCTCCCCGTGTTATTAGCTGAGATCTGTGGACACGGTGACATCACTAAAAAAAAGTCTGATAGGTCAAGAAATACCTTCTGACTGGTTTCAAACAGATTTTATGTAGAGAAACCAAAATGGTAAATTCCCTAAATTTCCCAGTCATAAACATCCATCTCAGTTTACAGACCCACTTCCTGTTCTAGCTTTTACATACTGGACTAGTTTTAGGCACACATTTTTCTGCTGCATCATAGAATTACTAGCAACATTTCAGGTACACTCAGGTACTTACCTACTTTACCTGTCAAATGTGGTGGTTTAAAACCTGTACATTCATCTGACTGCTTGGGTTTCTTGTGGTGTTGATGCCGTGTTCTCAGAACAAGAAAACATAAAGCTACAAAAAAATGATTTAAGTTGTAATAAAGGGGAATTATCATTTAATGGTGGAGCAAAAAATATCTTTCTTGACATTACAAAAATAATTTTATTAGTTTGGGTTTTGGGCACTGGCAGTAGCTTCATCAATAGTAATTCTGTAACCCTTTCTGTGTAGAATTTATTCTTCAGTGTCAAAGGTAATGCAAGGCTGTCCCTTTTTACATATTTTCTTAACTTAAAGTGGAGATGTTCATACATCAGCATCCACCATCTTTTCACTAAACCACTCCAATTTTTACCAACTCATTTTCTAAGCCATTCTCGTTTATCAGGATTTGTTTAACATATACATGTATTATTATATATTTCGTTCATGCAATGTTTCAAACTGACAACCTGGAAAAAACTTCCGTCTTCACCGGAGCAGGTCTTCCACTGCCTTCACATGAACATGCATCTAATGTGAAATACATGCAGAAAGCAAGAATTTAGTTTCAGCAGAAGCTTTGTACGTCAAAATGAACTCACCACACAGCAGACTATATTTAATCTAATGTTAATTGGCCACATGTAGCAGATGCCTGCTTAATATGGTTGGTATCTGAGCTAATACCGAAACAACGAATCAGATCAGTGCATTATCCTAGTTTTCAAGCAGATACAGTTATCCCTTTTACAACCAAAATGCTTTCAGTGACCATGAAGGACATTGATAATTGATGCATTTCTTTGTTTCCACAGACTGTTCCACAGCGCACAGACCAGCTCCCCCTCCTCCATATCTTGCACAAAACTCTGAAGACGCCAGAAGCACACATTTCATCCGTTCTGTCTCCGCCCCAGAAGAGAGCCTGCCTTCTCCCCACTCCTCATCTACACCGCTGCACTCACCATCCACAGCAATAAATGCAGACTCCCCATTGACTGTTCCTTCTAATGGCGTGGTGGATATTCCTATGAGGGTGAACGGAGACCCTAAGAAACCTCCTACCCCCTTTAGAACCACCTCTCTCCCTCTCCAGAACCCTGCTGACAAAACTGTACCATCACAGTGTATTCGAGACACCCAGGCCAACAGAAGCGCTGATTCATTCATGGAGAACACATCAAGCCAGAGGGAAAACCAAAAAACTGATGCAGCAGAGTTAAAGTTGGACCACAGAGCAGAGCCTCCTGCTGCAGCAGTGTCTCCTGGAACCCTTGGAGTCCCTATAGCTCACAGGACCCAGGCCAGGAGAGCACTTTTTAGCAATCTGCCATCACACACACCAGTAAGAAGAACAAAAAGTGAGGGCCAGGTTCAGGTGGCTGTAGCCTCAGGTGGGCAGGCCCAGTCAGCAGTACCGGAGGTCTGCACGGATGCTACCATGAACGACCGCCTTTGGAGCAAGTTGGAGCCAGGCAGCCACCGAGACAGCATGTCCTCCTCCTCTAGCATCTCTTCCAGTGACACTGTCATTGACCTGTCCCTGCCTAACCTGGCCAGGAAGAGTCTCACAAGCCTGTCCACCTGCGATCCACCTTGGGTCAATTGCCGCCACTCTGCATTGGTCTCCTACGACACCCTGCGAGTCACCAAGAGTAAGTCAAACCCCAATCTTCAGCAAAGTGAGTGCCAGAAAAATGAGCTTAAGCCCCGCAACCTGCAGCCCGAGGATACTTCTGTGGACTCACCCAGCCGACTGACTCAAAGAAGGCACACCTGGAGTCGGCTCTACATGGAAGGGCTCAAGCAGTCATCCACCAGCAAGCCGTCCGTTACAGTGAGAACCCCAGCAAATACAGCTTCCATGTCCAAAAGCCTCGGGGATCTGACCTCAGATGACATTTCCTGCAACTTTGATAGCAAGTACCGCAGCATCAGCCGCAGTTTCATTGTTAGGCCATCCCGGGACCAGCTCCGCAAGGGCAGCCCACAGAAGTCTCGACCACCTAGCGACCTGACAGAACAACTACGGAAGCTGACTGATGTGGAGCCCCTGACTGCTAGCGACTTCACTCCGGGAGACAGGCCTGGAGAGTCACAGGAGGAACTGGTGGATGAGAACCTGGTGCGAAGGACATCCTCGAGGAGCCAAAGCAGGGTGCGGTACATTGCAAACAGGGCCAAGAAGGCCCAGGAGAGGCAGAGGCTCCAGGGCCTGGTCCAGGGCAGAAGTGCAAGCTTTAGCCTTACTGGTAGCAGTGGAAGTAGGGCTAACCCCATTGAGGAGCGAGGTAACCCTGAAGGGGCATGTTGCGTGGCACGGAGTCCCTGCACCAGCTTGGACCTGCTGAGTCAGCTCACCCCCCTAGGAACACCCTCCCCTAGACATTCCCAGTCCTCCCCAGACCCTGAAAACAGTGAAGTCTTTTTCATGCTCAAACTCTAAGAACTGGCTGACTTGGAACTGAGCGTGAGAGACACAGCTAGAGACTTGTCTGGACTACAGTAGAAATCTTTTTTTTCTAAAAGTTGTGTATCTTGCAGAATATCTTATATCTTAAATTGGATCAAAATACAGATTATTTCATGTTTCACAGAAAACTATGTTCTACTGCTAGTAATCCATGAACATTTTTTAACCTGTGCGTTCATTCATTCTGTCTGGAAGCTACTGGAGAGAGTTCTTACTACAGCTCTGTCGTCTGTTTGCGCCAAATGTTAGATAATTGCCAGAATGTATTTAGTGAAAAATACCTGGAGTTTTTATATGGCTGTCTATGTTGACTGTGATCTACCCTGAGTATTTTTTGGAACTTTACATGAGCATACAGTAGCAATAGATCACAGCTAGAGGACAGGGTTTTAAATGATCCATTCTTATTTACTTGAAACTGTAATGGTATACTTTAACTGAGTTGAAAATGAGATACTTTATGTCAAGGCGTTATCAGCCCATCCATACACTAGCAATATTTTGAAAATGATGGCATGGTATCATATTGAAGATAAAGTACAGCTTGATGCTAAACTTTGAGGCTTGTCTCATGTCTTTGCTGAAAAAATAGAAAGGAATAATTTTTACAATGCAGGGCAAAAAGTCTTAATTTTTAGTGTTCCTTATGTAGTGCTTACATTGTAATTTGACCGAACTGCCAATATTTTGCTAACCTTTCTGATCTGTGGCATATCACAGCACTGAGATTCCCTGTGTCGTCGACACCATACCAAGTTTAGCTCTTTTTAGTTGACCGCATGACCTTTTATGCGTTGCAATGTTTATTTTAAGGCTGTACTTTATTTTTCAAAGACTTTTTATATGAAGATTTGTTAATATTCCAAAAATCTTTTATAGGATTGTCACAAGAGCATCATGTCTGAAACCCTGTGATGTCATTGGTCCGTGGTACTAATACAAGATGGAAATGATCTGTATCGAAGCACGTTTATTTGTCGGCCTGCTGTATTGTTTGCGCTGCCATGCCAGTTCTATGTGTGAAATTTTAGGGACAATATTTAATTCAAACAATGTGTTATTACCTGAATAAATTGCAAATGCATATTATTGAAAGTTTCACAGCTCATTTATTTCATTTCTTGATCTATTAACAGCTGACTTAGTTCAGAGACAAAGAAGAGTCGTTAACAAACCGTTTAAACTGAGCCTTATACAAGCTGACATGTAAAAGCCTTTGGCCTTGGTCTTGGCAGGGTCTGCTTGCTGCTCTAATTATTGACTCTGCTTGGGTCTGTGTTTACCAGGCATCACCTCACTCAACCTCTCTGGCAAAAAAAACCCTAGACCCCCTGCAGGAAGGCAGAATGTTCAAGAACAAAGACTTGACGCAGCACAAGAGACGACAAGTTCAACCAGACGTTAAAGGAGAGAAAAACGGCTTTTCAGTGTCGCTTGCAACCCAAGATCAGATTTTCTTTTGGCTACAAAACTGTTTATTTACACTTTCTTAGACCCTAGAATGTGGTGTATGGAATAAAATGACATCATACTCCAGTCATAGGAGTAGTCATTTGTACATTCCCCGAGAGTATGCTAAAGTATCAGAGTTTCCTTCGAGTGAGTTCTTTACAAAATTGAAAGTCATTTGAGCAGCATGTACACCCTGGGACACAAAAACTACCAACTGAAACATGATATAATGATAACACCAGTAATGGCTTCATGCATACCTTTGAGGAAGCTAATGGAAATCTGTTGGTATCAGCTTCCTCTGGAAGTAGCGCAGTAGTCCTAACTTTCCTCCTGGAAACCCTAAACCCTTTCTCAGGACACTGATTTGTCAGTCAAAGGTTTGTCAATTGTCGACTCTGTGGTTTCCAAAGCTGACGGCCACCTCTGGCGAGCTGTCACACGCTGCCAGGCCTCTTCCTCAGCTCTGTTAGACTTTGTGAAGCGCGACATGCTCATTTTAGCGCCACAGATTACGCTCCAGCCAGTACACAAACACAAAAGACAGCTTCATTAGGATTCCAAGAAAACCACACAGTCCCTCTTAAAGCTGTATTTATCTAGACAATTTGGCATGACTTGGCCTCTCAAATGCAACCCCCCCAGCTCTGTCTAGCACTTCAAGCCTGAGAGAATGTTTTTGTCTCAACGTGCGAATGCAGTCCCTCCTTTCAAGATGAAATCACTGCCTGTTTTCGACAGTTTTGTACAAATAAATCAATCTAGTTTGCAGGATTATACTAAAAGTTGTAGAAATGTTTCTAAGACAAAGAAACAGGACTGTTTAATGTTGATACGTCTAAAATATAAATTACTATAGATAATGTAATTTATGAGTTTGGGGGGTTGGAGGAATCAGATGCCAGACATGATGTGAATTGCTTAGGGGGTTTTTGCTCTGAGCTCAAACTGATGACTACAAGCAGATGTTTTTTCTTTGACTTCACATTTTCAGATGTTCTCACAGTTATTGTATTACAGGAATGGTTGAACTTGTGTTGAGGAGTTTGTCATAGTTAGTCAGGGGAAAGAGAACATGCTCCAGAGCAAAATGTTTTCCTCTGATTCCTGGGGACCCCGATCCTTCCAGCCCCACCCACGCCAATCAACCTCCCCCTCCCCTTTTCTAAGATCCTGTTATGTAACCTTACAAAAACAAGTCTGGTAACCATTATGGCATTAGATTTACACATTTATTCTTTAAGTGGTAGGCTAAAAACAGACATACTGACCCCTACCTATAACCAAGACAGTAGTTGAGTATATTCTAATTCATCAAGTTTATTTTATTTCTTGGTATTGGAATTGAAGAGGAAGAAAAACCATTGATTGCCACCTAATCTACATAATTCATATAAGCCTGAGCATCTAGGTGTTGTATTCTAGTGTAAAATTATTCCATCTGGCTCCAATAATTAGAAATCATCTAACTTCAGACTTTTTTCTCCCAAAACTTCTGCCCAACAATCACAAGTTTATTCTCTCTTTCAGCTCCTATCTCCTCCCTCCCTGTGCTCCCCCATATAAACCCCCACGACATTGTTCTGCACACAAGCCTTCACTCGTCCCACTTGCAAGACTCGTGAATTTTTTACACATTTTCCTGGAGTAGTCCATAAGTCAAGGTTTTGATTCACACTGAGGTAAGGGAACTTTTGTTATATAGTATAGTGTGACATCACATTATTCTTAATTATTAGTATTTGTGTTTTATTAGTAAAATATATAAAATCAACAAATCACCCCTGAAATTACTGTAAATGTTATATTCTTTGGTTAGAGGACCAATAATGAGTGTTATTTTCAGGGTCGTGGCAACATGAAAGGCTGCATGGCTTTTGTCCTCTGTGTGGCAGCGCTGACTGCATGGCTAGTCACTGCAGGTAAGACTAATGCACACAACCTGGCACTGAAACACAAGGTTGAAATGGTTCATTTGAGTGAACGCATTACATTTTGGGTCGTCATGTTTTTTATGCAAAACATTGTCTTCATTTACTACCCCCACCTGCTGTACTGGAACATGGTGTGATTGGCGAAAACCCAGATAGACAGACAGAACTTTATTAATCCTGATGGAAATGCATGCTCTGTCTGCCAGATTGGTCAAAAAGACATACCAGGGAAAACAACAGGCTCACTGTGGGGTGGCTTTGTTCCCTGTTGGCCATGCAAACTGCTCACCCTCTGCAGCAGCAGTCGGACCAGAGAAGCCACTGCTCAAAGTCACACTCGTGACCATTTGTTTTTAATGGATCAGTACTCAGAATCTTATTCAACCACTTGTAATTGTGTAATTTTTTGTTATTTTAGTTCTGTAAACTTTTTTGGGAAGCAGAACTGCTGTGTTAGCAGAAATAATCTCAGTGAGTCTAACCTCAATGGGCAGCACCAAAGAACAATGTTCTCTTATTCCATACTGTACAGAATGCAGTTTCTATAATAGAAATGAACATCTACCAGTAAGTTGGTACTGATAGGCAGGGTGCAATTTACTGGGGGAGATGCGTGGGATTTCCCCCTTTCTGGTTTATAGGTAGCCTACATCCCTGCCTCTGCTGAATTATTTTTATCCCCGGTGGGGACAAAATGTATCCTCCCCTCAGAGTGATCATTCTACTTAGTGATGCAACAGATCACAAAACTCACATCATATTCATTGTTAAGAAAAGCCTATATAGCCTTGTGAACCTCTTTAACTTAGCCTATATGAAAAATGTTTCAATTTCAATATAAATCATATGGGCTACGTTGTTAACCTGTGAATGGTGACGTGACAATGTTAGTGTAGTTTCGAAATAAAAAATCCTACATGTTAATCAGCGAAGTCACACGGAACGCAAATTGAAAGAAAGGTCCCCCATCGTGCAGCAAAGCCTTCACCACACCTTCAACAAGCCAGCATCGGTGCTGACTCGGTATTTGAGAGTTTAACGACCCACTACCACTCCACCCTCATTGGTTTCAGATGTTTAAACTTTAGTCAATTTGGACCTGCAACACATTGTCTCCACTGTTCAATTGTCCAGTTAATTTTACAGAACAAAATCAGATATACCAGTATAGTAAACAAGAAAAAAGACGTTTACGTTACACAAGTAATATTCATACTGGTTGAAATAAACAATGTGATAGTAGGCCTACCCTATCTCACCTCTTTGGTGAGCGAAGGTTTTGTGTGAAAAAAACTAAAGGCCTGTCCCAAATAAGTATAGGCAAGGTGAGTTCAGTGATTGGAGCAAATAAAAGCTGGGGCTGTTAATTGAAGTTTTACAGTAAATGTATGAATAGGAAGAGAAAATAATTTTTCAAGCATTTGCTGGTTTACTTTTTTCTAAACAGACCCCATTGTAACCATTATTTCCCCATCTTTGACTACATCCTTCTTCTTGGTTGTGTGTAGCATTGTAGTACAGTTTGTGTCTGCCAACATCTCACTAAAAACTCAAAAAATGTAGTGATTTTAGTCTGCATGCTGGGTTTTTTATTGCTAAATACACAGAATTGTTGCCAGATTTATACTTGTGGTTTTTAGTTCAGGAGGTGAGGTTGATTATTTCAGCCAAGTATGCCAATGTTCAGTGCGGGAAGCAGAATGTTCTTCAGGAAAAGTGGAAAGTAAGGGTGTTGAGGTCAGGGTGGTGGACGGGACTGTAGCACGTCCCATTTTCATGTGGGAGACCAGAGTTTTTGTCCTGTCAAACAAACATCACCACGATCTTCTATGCGCCAATATTGTAAAAGGGAAGTATTAAGAAAACTTTAAAAGACTTATTCATAGCCTTATACAGGGTTTTGCAGTATTGTTCAATAACAACTTTGTTGTCTGGCGATGGGGTTGGGTTATACTGGTGAAAGAGGAGGGGAGCTGTCCGACCAGCTATGCCAAACCTAAGGTCAAAAGCCCATGAGCCAGGCTGCAAGTCACTTTTTCGTATAGTAATGTTGGCTAAAGCATGAAAAATGTGTGTGCACAAAAAATGTTAAAAAGAAACCCTCTCATTGTTTCCAAAGATCACTAGCACTTTGCCAAACATTTCTTACTTTCTGAAAAGTTCTGTATGGCTCAGCCCATTAAGGTTTCACTCGGCCAATGAGATCAGCCCTGCTTCTACAAACTGTCTGCAGAGTTACAGACCAGCTCTGTGCCAGCGGGCTCTGGCTGACCTCTGACATGCTCCCAAATCATTCCTCACATTTGACTCTTTCCCCACTGGCCCTGTTGGACGGTTGGAGTCCTATCAAAGCACAGAGGGGGCACCATCCAATGTGGCAGCATCCCATTTCTCACCAGTGGAGGGGCTACTGTCTTGCTGTGGTCCAGAAAGCACTGTGATAAATCAATTAACCAAGCGGGGGGAGGACTCTGCAGGCAGGCAGTGAACTGACAGGCATCTCCGCAGATCCTAGGTCCTGCCATCTTCTCTAGAGGAGGCTGATGGAGTGTCATGGGCTTTATATGACCCCACCGGGCCCTCTTTTGTTAATGCAGGCGGTTTTTAAGAACTTGCTCCCCTGGCACCTCCGCTAAACCTCCTCCTTTCTCTAACCAACCCTGGCAGGGCATGTTAGGGCCTAGTGGACACACTGGGAATGCC